TCAAAGGGTTAAGAATCCAAGATATTCCTACTGTAAGTTCAGAACATCAGAAAGCCCCTCAAGATGAAGACCCAGAAAAGCGCAGGAAGGCCTAATCCGACAGCCTGTCTGGTAGATTCGCTATCTACCACCAGCAGCCGCGGTCAGTGGATTGGCCTAATACTTCGCTCCTTTGTCAATGTAAACGTTGGCCAATTTGAAGAGAAACCGTTTTTTGCTTATTGACCTTCCATAGATACAATTGTTTTCCAATTACCTTTTCTATCCGCGCAGATTTCCCATGACCACTTCATTTTGCTAACGTCATTTGCGGCCACCCTGCACGTAATGCTACTACAGTACATACAAAACCTCACCTTCGATCATCTTGTTGCAATGCAACTGGACCATTGTATCGCTCTTGAGCATATGTTGGCGCATCAGCGTTATCCTCCATGGATCGGCTGGACTGCAGTGGTCCCGGAGGTCCGCGAAGATGTCCGGGTGGTCCTCCGTATGGAGGCCTAGAAGGAGGCCCATGGCTGACGTCATTGCCCGGCCCAGTTGGTTTTTGATCTTCTCTAGGTGACTGATTTGGAAGGCCACGAGGTGGCATAGGCATTCCAGGTGGCATTGGGCGATTCAAGTTTGGATTCCGTGGAGGTGCGCTAAAGAATCTGGGCGCGCTATCTGATGGGCGTTGTTCCGGCTGACCGCTATTGTAGGGCGGTCTATGAGGCACTTCGGGAGGGAATCGTTTTGGTTCAACAGGAGGATATTTCCTCTCATAAATGCTCTCGTCTCTTGGTGGCACTGGAGGACGAGCATTTTGTTGAGCTGGTTGTGAGGGTGGATAACCGTCCATGGGTGCAGGTGGATAACCTCGATGATTACCTCGGTAATCGCCATTGTGTGGGCTTTCAGGCGTAGATTGAGTAGGTGGCGGAGCATACCGCTGTTGTTGTTGTTGTTGTTGCTGCTGCTGTTGTTGTGGTTGGTGTAACGGCAATGGTTGATGTTGCTGCTGTGGATGATGCTGATGCTGTGGCAGTGGCTGCTGTGGTGGAGGTAGCTGGTGCTGTGGCTGCAACTGATGCTGTTGCGACTGGTACTGCTGCTGTTGCTGAGGGGGCTGCTGAAGATGTTGCTGCTGTGGTGGGCCACGCATATAAAGCGGCTTGTTGAATTCAGAAGGATCGGGAGCAAACGATGACGGCTTCATTGGATGTTCAGGAACGGGGGCTGAGGCATACTGCGGTTGCAGTGGCGAGGTAGCAGTCTGCCATGCTTGCACTGGCTCTAGAATGAAGGTTTATTAATGAGCACAAAGGATCTACTGTTTGGGGAAAACCGCCTTTCCTGCGGATTCTAGATTAATTTTTAAACTGACCTTGATGAACCGGCGACTGTTCGGCTACTTTTGGTGAAGGTACTCGAAGGCCTAACACTGCCGCTTTGGCACGGGTGATCACATCATTCATCTCAGCACGGGAGGACAGGTACAATCGCACCTTGATTGAAGCCATTAATTCGATTTTCATTTCAGGCAACCGCTCAACCTCTCCTAGTCATGTATATTTCCTAATGTGATGATAGGATTACAGTTTTTATTTAAAGGAGGATTCCACGATAATGTCGAAGGTTGAAGAAAGAAAAATTACCCAGTGGAAAGACAGGCAGACTCCCTTGGAGTAAGTGTGCGGACCAACATGCAGTTCGCAGCTGAGGATATGCCCCAGCAATCTTGCATGACTCTATCAGGCCATCTAACAGACTCACAGCGCTATCAGCACGCTACGCCTACCGACTGGCCAAATACTCACCGCAGGTCTCTAGCCGTTCAG